GGAGATTTTCAAGAAAGCATAATTTTAAAACTACCTTTTCTCGCATTTGATATTAATTACTTGTTTCCTACCTTTGAACACATACCATAGACCTCTTAAATTCTGAATGCCTCTGCTTTGACCACTTCATACTGTTCTGTCCCCTCCCTCCTTCCAGGACCTTTATGGAGGTGCAGGTAGCCAGGCACAAAGGTTCAGAGAGCAAATTCAGGAATAGTAAATTCTATTGACATTAGCTTCTCATGAATTTCAGCATACAGATTTATCCATGTAGCTCCCATTAAAATTAATGGGAATTATGTGACTCAAACCTCTGCATACTGAGCAGTTTCCTTAGTGTAGTGAAGAGCCTGCATCTAGTTTCTGCATCCCTAAACAAAATGATGACCGTGCAGTGCCAATATATCATTTAAATATCACACGCATTTGGTGTATTATAGAGCTTTGAAGAAACATTTATAAAAGCAACCTTTGCATCAGAAGTCAAAAGTCCCAGGGAAAGTCTAATTTATATTGCAAATTTTGGTATGGTTTTCATCATAATGATAAAACAGGCTACTGTATTTGCAATTTACCCTCTAACTACAATTTTTAACTTAAATAACCACAAGGAATGCAATAAATGAAACATTTTTCAGAACAATGGTTTAAGCTTGGTCTTACTTTTGAATCATTTAAACTTATTTTAAATGACAGCCTATTAAGAGACCATTAATATAAACATTATTTTAAAATGAGATTTCAAGGAAAGGTTAGACCTGAATACGTTACAGTAAGAACAGGCAGAAGCTGATGAGATGACTTTCAAAGAAATAATACTATAAACAATATTTATGATGATATGCCCAAGCAATTTGAAAACAAAGGCTATAATTTACCTTTGAATTATATATATATATTTCTATGTCAATATTTAGAAGTCCGCTGACTTAATAGGAAGTTATATAAGCATGAGGACATGTGCAGATAATATAGTGGAATAAATGCGTGTTCTGAGTGTCTAAGTGGCACAGAGGGATTCTTGGTGTTCCAAATACCTTCTGTATTTGTAGAATATTCAAATTCCTTCCCTTCTTCCTCTTCCTTCCCTTTTCTCCTCCATCTCATCCTAGGGTGCATTCTCCTTTTACACACCACTCATAGCTAACTCTTGTGAAATTGTGAACTTCCTCTAATTTCACTGACCTTTAGGAAAGCTCTTCAGTTGAACCCTCTTCAAGAAGCTATCTTATTTCTTAGGAGGAAGTAAGAAATTATGTTTCTTAAGTTTTTGCTAAAAGACAAGCTGGAAAAGGTTTTCAACATTTTTCCAGTAAGGTATAAAAGGTGCAATATTGACCTATGGGAAATTTAAATTTAGTGCCTTCATTTTTGCTCGTACAATATGTCACTGAATGTAAAAAAGTTGATAAGGATTAAGATCCACCAGTGCCAAGCTGGGTACTGTCCTCACAAAAGGGTTTAATAAATGGTACTTTCAGTATGCTTGATAAAAATATTTATTCTAAGACATATTCAAGTTCTTCAAAAGACCTTACAGATATTAATTGCACAACTTCAATCCTCTTGTGTGTCAAAAATAGATAAGTAGGTAGATAAACAGGGACCATTTGACTTCCATTATAATAATTTTCTCTGGATTTGGTATGGGTGACATAGGAGAAAGAACAGTAGTGACTCTCTCATGAGAGGGAGAATGACTTGAGCTTCTGGCCACGCTCCTTTTGATTCAGCCCAGGATACAGTTGGCATTCTGGGATGCAAGTGCACACTGCTGGCTCATGTTAAGCTTCTTGTCAATCAACACCTCCAAGTCCTTCTCCTTAGAGTTGCTCTCAATCCAGTCTCTGTCCAGCTTGTATTTGTGCTTGGAATTTCCCTGGCCCACATGCAGGACCTTGCACATGGCCTTGTTGAACTTCATGAGGTTTGTGCTGACCCACCTCTCAAGGTCCCTCTGGATAGCATCCCTTCTCTCCAGCATGTTGACCACATCACACACCTTGATATCAGAAACTTGCTGATATTTCGCAAGTCAAACTAGTATCTTTCACACAGCACTAGCTCTCTCTTAACAGCAAAAAAAAAAAAAAAAAAGAAACAGCAAAACCAAAACAAAAATCATTTAACAGATAACAGCATCAACTATACAAAACTTTCTAAACCAAAATCAAACTAGTTTGTTTATTTTTGATTCAGGAAATGCTGTCACTTCTTGCCATGTTTAGCAATAGTTTTGCTTTTTCTATAATTTAATGGGCTGAATATAGGATCAACTGCAATGAACTTTTGCTGTCTTCATGACTCATATGAAATATACCCCTGGCTATTTCAACTTCGCCTCTGTTTTGTCATTGCCATAAACAGCATGTGCACGTTGGATTATTAGTGGTGCTGAGAAGTAGCTGGTGCAGCTAATGTTTTCATAGTACTTTGACTAGGCAAGCATAAGAAATATTTTCCATTAATTATTGATATTATTGTTTCCAGTGATATCTTTACTGAGTGGGTTCTCTGGCTTGAGATGCAAATACACAGATGAATAGACATGGTTTATGTGGAAATATGAAGGAGATAGTTTGGGTGGTTTATTTGTTAGATACCCTTTTTCCTGATATATTTTTCCTTCTACTGATTCCCAGATACCATGCTATAGATTATGGTTTGTAATGATCAGAAAGGATACTGACATAAGGTATTATTGTTGAAAGCAGAAACAGAGATTTTACTCACCATCTTGAGAGAGTTAACAAATAAATTCATTACCATCATAAGAACAAAGTCAAACACAGTCTTATTCATGTGCCATAGAGGACTGTTCTGAGTTTTGAACAAGCATGCCTTCAATTTTTGTTGCGAAAACATATGATTTTTTTTTTTTAATCATCATATTTCCCAAAAAGTTCAAGATTTAAATGTCTGTGATAGTCTTCATGATCATGAAAACAAAATTAAAACTTAGATAAAAAAGAAAATATAATCATGGCTTTTAATTTTATGTTTAGGCATTACCCCCAAATGTTTACTAATTATGCCCTTAAGTAACACCTCAGGATCAGAAAAGCTAAATGGGGGAAAGAATGTGAAGAAAAAAAACTATTCTTCCAAAAAAAATAAAATTGTTCACTCAATTAAAAAACCCTTAATAGAAGTCCGTAGTTGAGTTCAAGTTGCCCACGGGAAGGTCTAATTCATGCTGGCCATTAATGAAAGCTTTGTATGACCATTAGGAAAAACTGACAAGTTATCACAGCAACCTTAGTAATGTTTGTTAATGTATATAAAAAAATAAAAGCTGGATACTTAGAATGCACACCAAATTCCTCTTTTATAAGGTTAAAATTAGTAAAATCTGATAAGTTTAAAAGATTTCTTATTTCACCTACTGATACATTCCTGTGCATGTTTTCAAATGCTGTACTGAAATTTCTTTCTTTTGCAGATGACAAGCTTATTGTTTGATTAAATGTGAACCAATGTCTGGCAATGAATTGGCCATTGTAATACTTCTGTGCTCAATTCACTTAGTATAGAGATAACATTTTCTAAACCAGAACTTATATCAAGCATTTGTGTAATTTAAATCAAATTAATGTCTAGAACTGTTTGTTGAGAAAATTAAAATAAGTTCTATTATTTTTAAAAAAAGAGGTTGGTGAAAACTAATACTTTTGAGAACTTATATATTGATTTCTGCATTTTTACATGCTGCTTTCTGCGTTTTTACATACTGCTTTCTGCATTTATAACCCTCCAGATCTTCTGTTATAAATACAATGTAAACATCATAATTCATATTTGGAAAGAAAAACAATTCTAAGACACTGATACATTTTTTTAAGACGTATTAATTTCTGATGTTCTTGGTTTTTTTGTGGGTTTTTTTTGTTTGTTTGTTTTTGTGTTTTTTTCTGTTTGTGTTGATGAAATTTGCCAGTAGGCATTGCAAACTGCATACCATGTCACTTAAAAAACATAGTTTTACATGTCTGCGTCAGAGTCATATAGCTGGATAATACCAGAATGAGAGAAAAATATGCTTTATTTAATTTAGAACTCTATCCTAACCACTGGATCACATTTATCTTCATATAAACCATATCCAAAGGCTTTCATATAAAAATATTTCCACTTTTGATGAAAGACATTTGTAAAGGTTATGTAGGATGAACTGGTCTGCAGTGTTGTTTGGATTTTTTTCTTAGACTATCATAAAAAGCAACTGCTGAGCAGAATTTATTAAACAATGCCACCAAATTAATGTAGTAGTTTAGAGCAATCACAGCAAACTATTGAAAAATAACACAACCATCAATTTTTCCACTGTGACTTAACTTTAGCGACACAGTTCATAAGAGATTTATTTATTTTGACTTTTTTTACAACACTGATAACATGTCCATTGATTTCACATGGAGATGTCAACGCAACAGATATTACAAACATCCCAAAGCACTTACTAGAAATAAATTAAAATTCTTAACTGCATCACTGTCATCTTTAACTTATATCTTGGAAAACTCTGAAGTCAGAGTAAGATTAGAGCTTCTGGTCACAGTCAGTAATACTTCTACTGGTTTTAAAAATGATGTTATTGTTGTCTGTTAAGGTCCAGGATGTGAACAAATTGAGTATCTGTCAGCCTAGAACATAGACATATCTGTCCTTACAATTAAGTGGTACTGACTTTGTTACACACACACACACACACACACACACACACACACACATTTTTATACATATATTTCCCTCTTGATTCTGGAATTTCTTCAAGGTCTATTTTTCTTTTTTTAAACTGTTTTGCGTTCCAGCACAGGTTCTGAGTGCTCTCTTTGTGTTATGCTCATTTTGGCAACTCACAATTCTCTCCCCAAAAAAAATCTCTGACTGTCTCATTTCACACTTCAAAAGCTTCCTTGATTTTCTCTCATTCCTGAAGCTTTTTGCTCAGTTTTTTTTTTTTTTCTCCAGAAGTGTAGCTCTGTTTGCTGTCCATTTTATGGAACAAGTCTTCTTATTCTTCAGAAATATAGGTGGATAATCTCGGAACTTCTCCCAGACTCCTGTGTTCTGTTGTGTTCTTCATTTGCTTTGATGTAAGCAAACTCAGCAAACTTTAAGCTTACTTCTTTTGTCACTTCTGTCACTGGTGCACAAAGGGTTTCCACCTGGCTGATTTCTCTAGTTTGACCAGTATCACTCTTGGTGTGAGGCTGCTGCCGGCAGCAGTGGGCATACCTGGAGGCTGAGTATGACAACTTGTCATGTGCTGAAACCAGGACACAGACCTGGGGTGGCTTTTTTTTGTCATTGCTTTTTTTTTGTTTGTTTTTTTATTTTGAAGGTAACTATCCCATTCCAATATGCGCTTCCTTGTTTCAGTGTCATTTTGTCTTGTTTTACTGAGTATGGTTCTCCTGCCTACCTCTGATGTGATAGAATCAGTCTACGTTGTCTTAACTCCTTACAGTCTTGTATATTTAGCCTATTTAGGTGCCTAACTTGCTTTTAGGGCCTATTTTTCATCTTCATAATTTATTTATCTTACCTTATGCTGTCATATCTTTGTGGTACTTACGTAATTTGGTTTATACAAACCGGTAGTTAGAATGATATTGCATTCTTCCCTCTGTGTTTAAGAACAGGAACCCTAATATCTTCTGGAAACACTGTACCCACTCTTCATGTTGACACATGGCTGCTGCCATTTTTATTTTGTCTTCATGCATTTGGTAGCAGTTGTAATCCCACATATTGTCTGCATGTTTATGTTCTGAAATACCTAACAGCTTCATCATATTAATTTTGTCATTTTGCAAGATTTATGTCCAGGCAGCCAGGTTTTGCAAAAGATAATACTGCTGGATTCTTCCAGAAGTCAAAATGTTGCTCTTAAACTTGCAGTGCCTGAAATGGTTAGCATAGCTCTACAAGCTCATAGTAATCTACTTCATGTAGTGATAATAATTTGCCCCCTTCTAGAAATTAAAAGAAAAATGTAGGAAAGTATGGTTATATTTATAAACCACTCACTATATTACTGACTCTGCATTCTGTAAGTAAGTGAGGTCATGAACTAAAGAAAAAAAAATAAATTACTCAAGGTCTTTATTTACTTTTTACAGTGGATTATAGGCAGATGGACTACAGAGAAATAACACTATATGCTGGTAAGATTCAGCTAAGACACAATTTCTTCTAAAATCTGCCATAACAGTTTAAAAATTCTGGGTCTTAATTGCGTGCTATATATAATTTCACTTTTTCTCCCAATCTAAAAACATGCAGTCCAATTGTAGCAGAAAATATAAGACAACAGATGTGAAATGAAATTCAATTATTCTATCATGCAAGTATTTTCCCTAAAACAAATTAAAAAAATTAACATAAATCATGAAGAAAAATAAATATTCAAATTATATTTTTTCCCAGATCTACCTGTGTCGTGGTTTAAACCCAGTCAGCCATGCAGCCTGCTCGCTACTCCCCACCTTCCTCCTGCCCTGCTCCCAGAGGGATGGGAAGGAGAATCGAAAAAATGTAACTCCCCCGGCTTGAGATAAGAACAGTCCAGTAACTAAGGTATAACACAAACCACTACGGCTGCCACCAATAATAATAATGATAAGGGAAATAACAAGGGAAGAGAATACAACCACTCACCACCCGCTGACCGATACCCAGTGTTGTGGTTTAAACCCAGTCAGACAGCTCGTTCACTCACTTTCCCCCCTTCTTGCCCTCCCCCTATTCCCGGAGGGACGGAGAGGAGAATCGAAAAGAATGCAACTCCCATGGGTTGAGATAAGAACAGTTTAGTAACTAAGGCATAACACAAATCACTACTGCTACCACCAATGATAATAATGATAAAGGAAATAACAAGGGAAGAGAATACAACACCTTACCACCAGCCGAACGATAACTCGCCCTCTCAGCCTGACCAAACACTGAGCGATACCTCCTCCAGCCCTGCAGTCTCCCAGCCCTTCCAGCTAACTCCCAGTTACATCCTGGGCATGACGTGCTGTGGCATGGAATACCTCTTTGGTCAGTTTGGGTCAGGTGTCCTGTCTCTGCTTCCTCCCGGCTTCCCCTCCTCCCTGGCAGAGCATGAGCCTCACAAAGTCCTTGGCCAAACCAAAACATCCTTGTTATCAGCTCTGTTCCCAGGCCAAAAGTCAAAACACTGCACTGCACCAGCTACCAAGAAGGAGAAAAATGACTGCTACTGCTGAACCCAGGACACCCAGCCTGACCAAGCAGTGATCTCAGCCCTTCCAGTTAACTGCCCACAGTTTATACAGTGGGCATGATGTCCTGTGGTACGGAATACCTCCTTGGCTAGTTTGGGTCAGGTGTCCTGTCTCTGCTTCCTCCTGGCTTCCCCTCCTCCCTGGCAGAGCATGAGACTCAGAAAGTCCTTGGTCAGAGTAAACATTACTAAGCAGCAAGTAAAAACATCGGTGTTTTCAGCACTGTTCCCAGGCTGCAAGTCAAAACCACAGCACTGCACCAGCTACTAAGAAGGAGAAAAATGACTGCTATTGCTGAACTCAGGAGAGCCTGAACCTAGGAATTCAGGACTAATAGTATGCTCCTTAATCAGAAAAACACAGCACCAGGAAGTTTATGCTGTATTTGTACTTCAAAAATTGAAATGGTGTTAAATGTACCTCTTCACATTTCCCATGGATTCTTTGAAATCACTATTATAGAATCATAGGACCACAGAATGATTCAGGTTGGAAAGGACCTTAAAGCTCATCTAGTTCCAACCCCCCTGAAGAGATGATACCTTCCACTAGACCAGGTTGCTCAAAGCCCCATCTAACTTGGCTTGAACAATTCCAGAGGTGGGACACGCACAGCTTCTCTGGGCAACCTGTTCTAGTGTCTCACCCCCTTCACAGTAAAGAATTTATTCCTGATGTCTAACCTAAATCTCCCCTCTTTCAACTTAAAGCCATTGCCCCTTGTCCTATCACTACATGCTCTTGTAAAAAGTCCCTCCCCATATTTCTTGTAGCCCCCCTTTAGATTCTGGAAGATTTATAGGGTCTTCCCTGAGCCTTCTCTTCTCCAGGCTGAACAAGTTCAACTCTCTTAACCTGTCTTCATAGGAAAAGTGCTTCAGCACTCTGATCATCTTTTTGGACCTCCTCTGGACTCACTTGAGCAGTTCTACATCTCTTGTGTTGGGGACACCAGAACTGTACGTAGTACTCCAGGTGGGGTCTCATGAGAGCAGAGTAGAGGGGCAGGATCACGTCCTTCAACCTTCTGGTCACGCTTCTTTTGATGCAGCACAGGATACAGTTGGCTTCCTGGGCTGTGAGCATACAAAGCAGGCTCATGTTAGGCTTAGTCAATATACTCATGTCGTTCTCCTCAGGGCTGCTCTGAGTCCATTCTCCTCCCTGCCTGTACTTACGCTTTGGATTCTGCCAACCCACATGAAGGACCTTGCACATGGCCTTGTTGAAGTTCATGAGGTTTGTGCTGGCCCACCTCTCAAGATCCTGTCAAGGTCCCTCTGGATGACATCTCTTCCTTCCAGTGTGTTGACTGCAACACACAGTTTGGTGTCATTGGCAGACTTGCTGATGGTGCACTCAATCCCACTGCCCATGTCACTGACAAAGATGTTGAGCAATGTTGGTCCCAATACTGACCCCTGAGTGATACCACTCGTCCCTGGTGTCCACTTGGACATTGAACCATTGACCACAGCTCTCTGATTGTGACCAAATGAAAAATTATATTGGATCCTTTTCTGTGTGTTTCTGATATTTCATATTTTCTCATAAATCTAATGTAAAAATTTCATATACTGGGATTATATCTGCAGTCTAACAGTAGAGGATTTAAAGAAAATGTGTGAGTTTGAAAATTTATCAACACACATTGTATTTCAGATCTTCTTATCTACCATTCCAAGTAAAAGATGTTCAATTGGACTGTTCCTCCTTCAGAGTAAGACCTTTTAATTTCCATTATTCCTTAATCCTGAATTGAAATTTAGTTCTGCTTTTACATTTATTTTCCCTTTTGTTGGCTTACTTAGCTTTATACACCCTCCCTATTCCTATAGTCATAAGCACAAAGACTGTTTTTGCAACAGTATTGAAAAACTCTGATTTCCACTTATTTGAATACTTCATTTTGGCATAACATGAGGCACTGTCCCAGAAGCAAGAATTCTGTGCTGCTTCCATACCCAAGTTTTTTCTGTGGCAATGAAGACTTCTCTGCATCCAAGATATTATTAAACTGCCAGACTGTTGTTTTTTTAGAGCCAGAATTGAGTAAATGCACTTGATTGAAATAAATTAAGTTGTTTGAACATGCCTAAAGCGATAGTACAAATATGTCACAGTTTTTGTGCCTCTTAATGTGAGTCTAACTGAATCCATTGGGCAAAGCATTTTCAAAGGCATCTGTGCTTCATTCATTCATGCGCAGTTAAAAAGACAGGGAATTATTGTAGGGTATTTTCATTACAGTCTAGATATGAAATTCTTTTTGTGGTTACTGTGCACCTTGAAAATTGTATTCTGCATAGGTTCATCACTAGTCATCCTCTTTGATATGCAGCTACCAAGAGGAAAACATCAGAGAATTTTTCATATTATCCTGGACTTGATTTCTTCAGTACTTTTAAGAAATTTTAACTGAAAGCATTTAGTTGGTATGGGGTTTTACAAAAAGTGCATATTTTACTATTTCTGATGGCTTTTTCACAATGCCAGTGCAAAGAAATTCACCTAAAAAGTGATTTATATGTTTACTAAAGTGCTTTTTCATTGGCTGAAAGTAATTGTATACCAAAGGATATTAATTGAACATGGCTGTTGGCATCAGCCATTCCCACTGAACTATGGTTTAAAACAGTTAAACTGAAACAGCATCAGCCATTCCCCCTGAACTATGGTTTAAAACAGTTAAACTGAAACCCTTCAATAGAGCATGATGAGACTGGTAATGAATGTGAGGCATCCATTTTATTAGTTTCAGTTTAAGGGGAGACATTAACAGCAAACATTTCTGACAATAACCATTTAGGATTTAAGGCAGAAGGAAAGGAAGATATCCCTGACTATTAGAGGCAAGTTCAATATGTAACCTCTTTCTAAGCCTCTTGAGCTTGGTGTTAAATGCAGATAGTTGTTAATTCTCATTAGCACCATTGAAGAACCTTATACTCATATTTATGAGCATTTTTCAAATTTCCACATCAATTAATTTCTCTTTAGTTAATTGACAGGCTAAGAAAATTGGTACAGGCTGAGAAAATTTGGTCTGTTCAGCCTGGAGAAGAGAAGGCTGCATGGGGACCTCATAGCAGCCTTCTAGTATCTGAAGGTGGCCTACAAGGGTGCCAGCTAGGGAGTCATCAGGGACTGTAGTGATAGGGTAAGGAGAAATGGTTTTGAAGTTAAACAGAGAAGAACTAGGTTGAATATAGGGAAAAAAATCTTTACTATGAGGATGGCAGGGCACTGTAACAGGCTGTCCAAGGAAGTTGTGTATGCTCCATCCCTGGCAGTGTTCAAGGCCAGGTTGGACAGGACCTTGAGCAACCTGGTCTAGTGGGACTCTTCCCTGGGCATGGCAGGGGGGTTAGAACTAGATGATATTAAATTCCTTTCCAACCTTAATCATTCTATAATTCTAAGATTCTGTGATTTTCATTTTTTAGTTCTCCTCCTGCTGTACAGTAGATTTACAAAGTACATCAGTATTCTGTCAGCTTCCATTTTGCTAAGCTAAAGAAGTAAAGGTGCTTTTCAGGTGTTGCCTGAGCTTCTTAACATTTCTTTTCTGCTTCTCTGAAGCACTTCTGCTTTGAATGCAACTGTCTTGCAACAGAATTGTACTTGCTATTCCACAGGCAGTCATGCCAAGACCTTGTGCAAGTGTATTCTCTACCAGTATTAGAAAACATCCTAGCACATCCTAAGATTAAACTTTCCTTTTCATGGTAGCTTCACACAGGTAGTGATAATCATCATGTGATTGACTGATTAAACCCAAGTCTTTCTCCTCCTGTACTATTTCCAGCTGATGAGCTCCCAGCTTATAGCAGAAATTCTCGTTATTAGTCCCTGAGTGCATGACCTTACACTTTGTACTATTAAATTTCATCTTGCTTCTTTTACTACAGTCGTCAAGGTCATCTAATTCTTCCTGTATGCTATTCCAGTTCTTCTCAGTATTGGCCACTCTGCCAAAGTTTTTGTCATCAGAAAAATTTCATTAGCACACTCCCAGTATTTGTATCAAAGCCATTAAAGAAGATATCAAATAATACTGGCTCTGAGACCAATCCCTGAAAAACTCCACTAGAGATTCTCCAAACTGATAGGCTTCCTTTCAACTGAAATCATATTTGTCTCTTGTTTAAGCTATTTTTAAAATGTTACAATCCTTGTGTCCTGTTTAACTGGTAGTTCCCCATGTGATACTGCAGTGAAATTTTGATAGATTAGAGCAGTTTCACTGTAGAGGAAGAATTATAAACAAAATGTGAAAGTGTGATGTAGGGAAGACAATGCAATCAAATCAGGCCTGCATATCACCCAAATTGTTTGGAATGTTGGACAAGAGAAGACAAAATCCAACTGATTATATAAGCATTAATTCTACTGAGAAACATCTAATGGAATCTAGAAAATCGTCAAGTAGACTTATCCTTAAAATACTGGTTTGCAAGTAACAAAACCTTTTCATATAGCAAATAAGAACTAAGGAATTTCTGGACATAAGCACAATGCTGCTTTTATTCATTTAGTATAACATCATTATTTAAGTAATAATGATGCAATGGTTTATTATCAGTTGGTTGCTCAGTTAATGAAGTGCCTGAGGTGAAGGCCACTGCTTTCTTACCCAACACAATGTTTTATTAAGAACAAGCATTCATCTTGATCATGGCACCACTTCAGCATCTACTATTTTGACAGCTTTATCTGGGAATAAGCTTTTATCCCAATGAAAGAGGTATCTGCTCTCATGGAATCATAGAAATGTAAAAATATTTAGGTTGAAAAAGTCCTTTAAAGGTACTTTACTCCCTAACTAAATTTAACAGCTGACACTAATGCGCAGAGTATCGGCTCCCTTGCCTTATAATAGTAAAATACACTCACCAGCAGTTATGTTTGTTTCCCAGAGAAATGTGACTTATTGATGGCTACCATTCCCAAAGATTAAGCTCCTCTGCTGATTGTTGCTTCTTGTATATGAGTGATTTTGTAGGTTAATTTTAATAACTGGAGGAACTTCTCTGATTTAGCTAAGACCATGGCCCCAGAAGAAGTAGCATCTCCACCCAACTGATGTGTCTGTGAGTGGTGTCTGAAGACGGTGGACTTCCAGGATTGTAACAGGGAGAAGCTGACTGGTTTACTGTCCTTTCTTCTTCTACTACCCCAAAAAGGGTTGTGTAGAACCATTTTCTTAAATGGGGGTAATTCAGGTATTCATAGAAGAACAAAGTGCCACAGTGCCCTGGGTTCAGCAGTAGCAGTCATGTTTCTCCTTTGTGGTAGCTGGTGCAGTGCTGTGTTTTGACTTCCAGCCTGGGAACAGTGCTGGTGATACCAATGTTTTCGGTTGTTGCTGTTTACCCTGACCAAGGACTTTCTGAGTCTCATGCTCTGCCAGGGAGGAGGGGAAGCCAGAAGGAAGCAGAGATGGGGCGCCTGACCCAGTCTAGCCAAGGAGGTATTCCATACCACAGCACGTCATGCCCGGGGTGGGGGTAACTGGGAGTTACCCGGAAGGACAGGGGCTTCCAGGTGGGACTCGCTTTCTTGGCCGGTGGTGTCGTATTCTCTTCCCTTGTTATTTTCTCTTATCATTGTTGTAGTTGGTGGTAGCGATGGTGATTTGTGTTGTACATTGGTTGCTGGACTGTTCTTGTCACAACCCCTGGCAGCTGCACTTTTTCGATCCTCCTCCCCATTCCCGGGAGAGCCCCGGGGGGGGGGGGGGTGGTGGTGGTGGTGGTGAGCGCCTCGATTGCTCTCAGCCTGGCACCACTAACTGGGAGTGAGTGAAAAAGCTGTCTGGCTAGGGTTTAAACCACGACACACAGGTATAAAAAACTCACAGGAGAGAGTAACACTGAAGGATCTCACCGTCCTGATGTGCTTGTGATAACTGGGTGACTAAGAG